AGTAAGTTGTTTTTCTGGTGATTCTGAGCTATCTTGGCAGATATTATGAGCAGGTCGATGAGAAATACCATACTACCTAACCTGCCAGAGAGCTAAGAAGTGAGAGAAGTGTTGGATTCTTCCTCCACCTTGCATTTTCCTTATATAAGTATACAAAAATTGAGTTAAATCTCATTTAGGGTGCAAGATGCGCTCCAATCTGAAGGCAGGAGAGAGCAGGAGAGAGATGAATGGAGGAAGAAACAGAATGCAGATACAATTTGGCTCCACATAGAATGAATAATATATAAGCTCCGTTTGAAAGTGGGAACCTTTGCAGAAGAAAGGTTTGCATAACCATTATTAACCATTTGAGTGTTTATCTCTGTGTGTGTTGCCTCAGCTCTAACTCCAGGTCCTAGACTCCAGTCCCTATTCGTATTTACTCCCTGCCTTCTGCCTTTCCTGATCATATGTGCAATATATATCACAAATTGAACATGGCTTGTTGTTTCAGCAGATGAATGCTTGTTTTTCACACATCTGTTTTAGTCACAAGTTTATGTTGTATCTGGTAAAGAAATCCAGTAATGGACTGTGGATTGGTCAGCCAGAATACATCATGCTGTAGACATAAAAATATGGAAAGAACTCCAGACACTAGTCCTGTCTGGTGGAAAACTGTTATCTGCAAACACCATCCACATCTTCAAACACAGACCCATGAAATGCAAACAGTAGCATCTCGTGTCAATACCTTTGGCCTGGTCATATACAAGATCTACTGAAATGTGGCCTTTAGAGATTTGAATCTTCAAAGCCAGAGCACTTCTCTCTTGATGGGAAATGTGGCTGCCTTAGGTCTTTGTGCATGAGCTCTTCAAGCAGACCTTACTTAAAATTCTCCTCCTTTTGCTACTGTTTGAGTTGGAGTGCTGCAGATTTGCCATTTCTTACACTCCACCTGTATGTGTCAATGGCCAGCTCAAAATACCTGGTGTACAGGTAATATTTCAAGCTGCTGTATTCTGGCTGTCAGATACAAAATAGGTTTTTAAAGCATTTAAAGTTTTTTGTAACCTAAACTTGCATGTTATGTCTTAAATGTGACCAGCAACATCTGAGATAAGGTTCCTGGCAGCAAGCAGTTAAATTACTGCTTGTCCATATGAAGCGCTGTCTGATTTACTCCTGAAATAGAAGTTTAACTCGTTAAACCAAGTTACTCCCTCTAATTCAAGACCTATAAATCTTCACCAATAAAAAGGCTTAAAAATATAGTGGCTTTTTTAAGATAGAGAGGGAAAAAAAAAAGAAACCCTGTTCTTTCATTGCATGGATAGCATTCTCAAAAGTGCTACAGCAATCTGGTTTTAATCTTAGTTATGATCCTAAGTAGATGCCTTCTTGACTCTGGCATCATCATGGCTGCAAAATAAGAAGCAGGCTCACTGGCACTGAGCATATGCATGTCCTGGATTTGCTCTGCCTCCTGCTTGTGGAAAGCTGGCAAAAGCAGCAAACGCTGTGCCTTAACACTTTTTTCCTCTGGTTGATTGTGTTTAGATGGGACAAGCATACTGCAAAGCTGCTGCTTGTCCACTTGATGGTATCAAGTAACTGAGCATGGGAGGGTATGGCTGCTTTAATGCTCTCAACTCAGGCAGACGTGATCAGAGATTTTTATAACAGGTAAAACATCTGTGTTATGTTCTTTGCCTACACAAACAACTCCTGTGCTAGATTTAATCAGACTGTGAATAATATAGCTTGCTGCTTGGATTCTGCAGTCCAGTCCAGTCTGTTCTGGACCAACCTTGCCGTGAAGTGGATAAATAATGACTCTGTCGGGAAAATCACCATGGTTTTGCTGCAAGCAGATGACACTGCTAATTTGCATTTTCAAAAACTCTTTTCTCTATTTCTAGGTGAAAACACATTAGGGAAAAAGCTATGGGAAATAATTTGTTCTCTAACTCTCCCATTATCAAGTAATTTCTAAGCATTTAAACAAACTTTTAGCTGACATCTTTCTGAGAACCAAGCTTTAGCAAAAAGAAAAATATAACTTTAAGCTGGGGCAAGGAGGAAGACCTGACACTGGTCTTTCTCCTCTTGCTCTTCTTCATCATTTTTCCCCTTGTCTGAGGATATGTTTGAGCAGACCCATGTACACATGAGCATGAGCCTCATCTCTTTTCAGAGCTGAGACCAGGCAGGGCTAGCTTTTCTCCCACTTGTATAGAACTATAGCTAGCCATTGTGAGAAAATGCATGGAAACAATTTCTTGGATATTTTTGAGTTCTGCTTTCCCAGCTTGGACTTTGATTCTAGTTTGGCAGATTTTTCTATTTGTCCCTGACAGAAAAAAGACAGGTTTCCCATCATACCCTTTCAGAATAAAAAACATCTAGCATGGGATTGCTATTCAGTAGGAAAATGGCTTTGCACTGTGACCCGTAGAAACATGGTGATCTGGCTCATTTGGCAACCTTTTTGATGGCAAGTACGTGCAAATCTAATGTAACAAGGGGACTTTCTGTGTCAGGCTATTAAATTTCAGATGCAGAATATGCCTTGCCTGAAAAGAACGGATGGCATGATGCTGGGACAGAAAGATGCTTGGGCAGAAAGATTGCATCATTTGGCCAAGCAAAACACTGAGCCACGTCACACTGACCTATGGGTACGTGGTTGTCTGTGCCCCATGTGGAGGATATCTGTACCTGCCCTGAAATAAGAATAGCTGATGCCAGGAGGAGATGTCACCCTGGCCCCGATGATCAGCACCCAGTTGCACACCACAAGTGAGGCAGCGCAGCTGTGAGGCAGCAGCGGGCTGCGGGCAGCCATCCTGCTCCCCGCGGTGCCTCGCTAACCCCCTGCAGAAAATGGCAATCATATCCTGAGGGTTTGCAGGGTTACTTTGCTGGATGTCACCACGAGCAGGGGTGAGTAATGGTGCTGGCTACTAACAACAGGGGGTAATGTGAAGCGCTGGAGCTGGCGCCAATGGCTCCCAGCACCTCGTGTGCTGCCAGCCACTCTGGTATGAGCCTGGGCACTGCTCAGACCATACTCGGGGAGCCCATGCTGAGCGCCAAATAAGAGCATGTCGCTATTACTTATTTTCTGCTGTCAGTTTATTAATTCCAAATACTATTTCAACTTCTTATTGCCGACAGATAGTCTGTGAACAAGTCCTTGTTTTGAAAAGTGCAGTTGTTATTCCCAAGTCTTGACCATAAGGTATGTGCTGCTTGGTGGAATTTGTTTGTAAACTCTCCCTTGCAACCCTCAACTGCTTATTGTGAAGAAACTATCACCTAGGGCTATGTAATCATGGTTTCTTCTCTCTCACTAGAGTACACAAAACTTTTTGTTTAGAAAGAAGAGACAAATGATGAAGAATAAATGACTAGCTATGAACTTCTGGTACACTTCATTAAAAGTCTAAGTAATTAGACTGAAACCCACAGAGCTTTTTGGATACATGTTTTCATGGCAGTTGTGACTGCTTGAATACTTGGGAAACAATAGGTAATAAAACTGCACAAATATGATTCCATAAGGAAATTTGATCCACAGTGTAAACCAACACTTTTGGTCGTGTCTGAGAAGTGCCATAGTTGGACAAATCTCTTTTTCATCACATATCTTGTAAGTAGTCAGTATTCACATAAATAAACGCCAAACTGGCTGAGCTATGTGTTCTTTCAACATCTGGTCCCGCTTTTAGAAGTTTCTCTGGTTCAAAAAGTGCACCCAATACAAGAAATGTCAGACAAAAGTGCCTTATAGGAGATGTACTGCAGTAATGCCAAGGTGAGAACCAAACTACAGCAGGTCAATGCAGCATTTGGGCAGTAAGAGGCAGAGAGGAAAGGACCAGAAACCACCAAGCTTCCCATCAGTTCTTTGGATGTTGATGCTCCTTTTCTAGTCTACCAAAGCAGGCACAATGAAAACTTCACAGTGTGCATGGAATAGTGAAGAAGTAACTTGATAAATAAACAAGCAGAAAGAAAACTGGCTAAAATTAAACCTTCATACAATAGGAAGTTAGTGCAGGCTGCTTCTTTGGAAGTGAGCCCTCACGTCGCCTGCCTGCGACGGTGAGTTACACACGTTTATCCTCCACACTCTAAAAAAAGCACGGGACAACGGAGCACTCCCGTGCTTTATGCCCGCACCGTGGGCATGACAGCCCAGCCATAAACCGCCGTAAATTCACTCGGTGTTCCGGAGCTGCCCCGGCGCGGCCAGCCGCCCTTTGCAGCCCCCTCCTCGGTACCATCCGGCGTGGGAGCCCGTCCTGAGGCCCCTGCGACCCTCGCCCTCCTAATTTGTGAGTCTGATGTCCAGCACGCCGTGCATGCATTATGCAAAGAGAGCCCCCGCGGCCCGCAGGCCGCCCCTCCGCCTAGGTGAATAAATTATGCCGATGAGGGCGGGGATGCGGGGCGGCGGCTCCGCGGCTGACAGCGGGGCAGCGCGGGCTGCCTGCCGCCTGCGGGCTTCCCCGCCTGGCGCGGCGCGGCTGCTGGGCGCCGGTAGGCAGGTGGAGCGGGAGCAACAAGTCCTCCGGCGGCGGCAGCGGGGAGGGGAGCGGGAGGCGGAGGGGGGGCGCTTCCCGCCCCGCGCCTGAAAACCTCTCTGACAAGTGGCAAAGCGCTCGCAGAGCACGCTGCTCCCTCCGAAGGGCGGCTGGAAGCCGCGGGGGCACGCCTCGCACCCAGCCCTGCTGCCGGCTTGTGGCTCGCCGCCCCCGCCTCCCGCCGCCGCCTCTGCCGCGGGGTGGGTCGCGACCCGCTGCCGGCGGTGCGCGGTGCGGTGCGGGCTGCGGAGCGCCGCCGCTTCGCCTTCAAAGTGTGTCAGCCGGCTGCGGGCTTTGCTTCTACTTGCCGCGGTTTTTTTTTTCTTCTTCTTTTAAATAACTGTTTTGCCGTTTCGTTATTTATTTTCCCCCTACTTCGTTGCTGTTATTTTTGTTATCGTTGTTTGTAAACTAATTGCCTCCATGGGGGGCGGAGGAAAGGAAATCAAAGCTGCCGCAGCTGAAGGGTGTGCGAGCACGCTGGGGAAGAGCCGAGGAGCCGCAGGACAGGATGGCAGCGGGAAGCCCAGCGGCAGCGGGAAGCCCGGCCTCGGGAAGCCCGGCTGCGGCGGGGACCGCTGCCCGCGGCGGGCCGGGCCGGTCGGCTCCGCGCTGGCCGCGCTCCTCTCGGCGCTGGCCGCGGCCTCCTGCGTCTACCTGGGGGTGCGGACCAGCGACCTCCAGGCCAGGGTCGCGGCTATCGAAGGCGCCCGAGGGGGCTTCTCTGCCGCCGCCCCGCTCCCGCCGCTGCCCGGCTTTTCCTTGGAGCAGCTGAACGCGATGATGCAGGAGAAAGTGGAGCGACTTCTCGCCCAGGTGTGCGGGACGGGGGTGGCCGCTGCGTGCGGTGTGCGTGTGGGGGGCATGGGGGATGCTCGGGGCGGGGAGCGGCCGAGGCCATAGAAAGGTGCCCGGGGCGAGCTGCTCGGGTGGGAGAGTGAAGCGGGAAAGTGAGCCCGGAACCCCGGGGGGCGGCGGGGCCGGAGGGGGAGCGGGCCGGGGGCGCCCCGGGCTGCTGGAGCGGCGGGCTGGGGATCGGGGGGAGCCCTGCTGAGGCGCTTTGCTCATGGGTGACTTGCGGCCGTCCCTGCGCCTCTGCACCGCGCGTGTGGAGCCGGCAGAAAGAGCGGGGTCACTTGGGCGGCCGTGCGAGAGCCCCCAGGTGTCGGGCTTGGCGTTGTCCCTGTGGGGCGCTGAGGTCACTGAGACACCTTAGGCCGGGTCCAAGCCCAGGAGCCGCCGCTGGTTGCGCAGCCCCTGGCATAGCGGTAAATTCCAGAGTGCGGCCGCGGTCGGGAACGCTGCCTGTGGCGGGCGAGCTCCTTGCCAAGTGCCCGCCCTCATGTTGCTTCTCTCGCCCCCAGAAATCCTACGAGCACTTGGCAAAAATACGAGTAGCGAGAGAAGCGGCTCCAGAGTGCAACTGCCCACCAGGTAACAGACACAGCTCGGGAATCTCCTCTCGGAGGCTTGTAACTCGGGGCTGTTTGGTGTCCCACGTTTTTGAAATACACCTAAATCAGGTCCAGGGGATGCCTCTTCAATCAACAGCTGTTCCTTGGGTGCAAAAGATGTAATTGCAGTGAAACCAGAAAATGACTGGTTGTCGCTGTGGCCCTAGATTGGAATTAATGCTAATGAAAACCACTCATTAGGCTGGATGTTGCCAAACAAGAACACTTATGAAGACGTTAATAATCCACTCTAACAGCTGAAATATATTCTGTCTTAAATGGGGTAGTACTGAATCAAGGCACTGTGTACTCAACTTGAGAAGTGGAGCAAAAGCCCCTAGCAAAAATATTGAACGATTTATAACATGGATTGAAATAGGTGGAGGGTCTGTTGCAAGTTAGCAGTAATATATACATGAGCCTTTTACAGTGTTGTTTTTCTGTAGTCTTAGTGGAAAGCAGTTTCCCTAGGAAGGAATTGCAGGTTTTTCCTACTGAAGGTTCAAAACTATGTGTGTTTGTGCAGGGATATCACTTGACTTTGGAAATGGGCCCTTCTAATACTGCACAGTTGTTTGTACATTCACACTGCAATATTTCTGTGGTCTTTGTGCTCCTTTGTGGTAGTCTGATAACTGTCAGTGTTGTTTCAGCTTTATAAACTTCTTCTAAACTATATCCAAGTTCATCTAGCATCTTAGAAGTTAAGAAAATAATGCCAGTGTTTCACAAGGGAATGTAGGAGTTTGAGCATCCTCTGTGATGAGGTACACTAGATGCAGCGGATGCTTTGCATGTCCTCTCACTCTGTTTGAAAACCCATCTCTTTTACAGGTGGAATAGCGACTGTCAACAGGACTTAAGCTGATAATGCTTGCCAGCAGGATGTGTGATAGTACTGGTGTATAAGGAAGGAGCTTTCCTAGTTTAGGATTCAATTTCTGCCAAACTGATCAGTCTGAAGGGACTGCTGAATCTCAGTGTTAAAGCTGCCTACAGTGGTTGGTACTCTATTTTTGTGATGATACAGCTGAGAACAGATTACTTGCTTGCTGGTATTGGAGTTGCCACAGCTATCATGGGAAGGGCAATATATGTGACCAGGACTGTTTTAAAAGAGTGCATAGAATTACTCAACTCCCAGTTAGTTTTGGTAAGGAACACTGGTTTCCTGCTGTAGTATATATGTATATATATATATTTCTCTAAGGCTAACATAAGCAAACTGATCTTATTTTTTCTGTTGCTTAACTGCAGTGAATTACAAGATGCAAGTTTGTGCGCAGAAAAGAGAGTTACTCATCATGTTTGCAGTGGTGCATTCTGTGAGCCTGAAATTATGTTTAATTTGATGCTAAGCTCTTTCCCTCTTTCTTCTTCCTTGTTTAAATCCATCTGTTATCATATTTTCACTTACTGTTTTCCTACTAAAGGTCAATATCTACTTTTCATGATTGGTGTTACATGCTGCTTTACTTGTTCACTACCACTAGAGCTCCACATTATACCAATTTTTATCTGACCTTTTTTTTTCTTAAGTACGTGTTTTCAAATAGATAATGAGCAACAGAATATTTCTCACATGCATTGTAAAAATCCTTGCTACATGAGAGTCAAAGCGATTTGGGGAACTTATACAAGGGAGCAAGTTTTATAAGACCAGGAAAACTTACATGAATCATTACAAAGTAAAAAAAAAAAAAGTTGCAGAGAGGAGGGATTAGAAATGTGATATGGAGCTTTTCACCTCTTGGTAGCTGTTTCAATTTGGAAGCAAGTTTTGTAGTGACTGAAAGATGTTGCCATGTGGTAGCCTCATTTTGCAGTTGATGCTCTCATGCTTGTTGCCAGTGGACAGGTGTCTACCTCAAAATGGAATCATCTTGGGAGCCTTGTCTGAGAGAGCAGGGGCTGAGTGGCACCACCACCTGAGGACACTGCCTTCCTAACTGCAGGCATTAGGCAGAGCAGGAGGGGATAGAGGAAATAAATTGTTGCTTCTTCATTTGGTTCCCTCTGTGAGAACTCCTTTTTGGCTGCACAGAATGGGCTTTTGTTTTAATCCTTAATGTTGCTGTTACAAACAGTTATGTTCAAAAAGGTATTTGGTTTAATAGGAAAAGTGTCATGGTACATCAGTGGTTTTTCTGTTGCCTGTTATTTGCAAAGCCAAAGAGTCCATTGCTTCTTTCTCACATGGTTCCCTTTTGCTTCTGTATTTTGCTCAACTTCTTTGTTTCTTTCTTGTGTATCTGTAATAATAGAATACATGTCTGTTAGAGATGACTTTGGAAGGCCTTCATGGTAGAGAGGTGATTTTTTAAATGTCTCTGTGCTGTTGGAGAAGGTCACCACTGAGTGGCCACCAGGACAGTTTCCCTCATCCTTCTCTTCAAAGAGGAATAAAGATTATTTAAAAGTAGGTTACATTGTTCTCTGCCAAAAGAAGAGAAGGAAGCTCAATCTGCAGACAGGAGGGTGAGAATGTGGCCTCTGGTTCAGGATTAAAGTTATGCAACTGGCATAGATGTGATTAGCTTGAGATTTTCATCCCCTTTTGCCTCTCTGTGGTTGGAACCTGCACATTCAAAGTGGGTTTGAATGGCTCAGTTACCTATTGGAAGCCAGATTCACAAGCTCACAGCTTGCAGGGCAGTCTACATGTGGCTCCTTTTAATTCAGTGGTAGCCTTCAATTTCATCTAGTGTGAAGAGTGATCACATTTCTCTTTGAAAACTTTATTTTCACTAAATGTGATGTTTCTTGTTCTTTAGTTCTATTTTCTTATGAAAGAAACAAGATGTGGGGTGTTGAGAGTTTTGGTTTTAACTCTGTGCGACTAAAACCAGATACCAAAGATTTTGTAAATATTTTAAAAATTACAATAGCAAGCATTCTTTCTCTTCTTAAAGCAGAGTAATAAAGTTTGAAAAGTAAATTTGTGCTGACATTCCTCTTAAATTACCTCAGCTCTAATAAGAGTGCCAGTGTAAATCTTGTGCTTTTAGCTGGTGCTGCAGTCACTGCTGGTAGTTGGCCTTTTGCACATAGGACTGGGAGGCAGATTGAGTGGCTGAAATAATTTTAAGCATAATAAATTAATTTTCATTTGCCAGGTGTATTTTTTATTTTAAGTTGATGTTTTTCTACTTTAAAAGATGAAGAGAAAATGTAGGTGTGTAGATATTTATTTCATACTTCTAAATCTTCCTCTAAGTGGCTGTGGGAGCATAATCAGCTCTTATGAGGAACAGTCCAGCACCATGCTGGGTACTCATGCTGGGTACTTCTTACTAAGTGCCAAGAATTATACAGTTGTGGGAAGAGTAACACATACAGAAAGCACAGGGATACTCCTCATTCAACAGAATTTAAAGAATTTTTTTTTGCAGATTCTTTCAGATTTTCCTCATCCCAATGTCATTCACATGTGAATGTACCTGTAGACTTTAACAGAAATGGACATATGCTTATATGTTTTAATGATCTGATCCTTTGTATATTGGAAGTGTCAAGTTCGGACACTTGCAGTTCTGTGCCATGATGTCTCATTGTGTAAGTGGTCCTCAGAGCCTGCTCTGGAGTCACATAAAATTGACAGGAGTAGGAATCAAATCTGGTAGTACAAGAAGTTCAAGCTTTCTCAGCAGGAAGGCTGGCAGGTGATTATATATGTCCCTTTTGACCAGGGACCAGTTTTAGGAAGCAATTACCTTTTTTTTTTCCATCTTCTATTTTTAGGTAGACCTTTATAGTGAATTTATTCCTTAAAAGAACACATTTCTTTAGTTCTGCATTGACAAAGTATAAGCTACATAGGAGATGTATTTGACTGTATAGCTATACAACACAGGATGTATGAATGTTCACTATAACGTGCATATAAAGTTACGGGGTCTGTAGGTTTTGAGATTTGTTTTGGGGTTTTTTTTCCTTCCCCAGAACATTAGCTGAACTTCAGTGTTGGATACTTGCCAAAGTTGACTGGAAATTTGCTTTTGTTTTTCTTCAGTTCCACAGGTAATGTTTCTTTGTTCTTTCTCTTGTATATTTCCCATGAGGAAGCATACAATTTTCTTCCTCTTGTGACTTCAGGGCCTTCATGGACTCTTTCCCTTTCTGTAGCTTCAAACTCTTTCCACAGATGCTCTGGTCATTCTTTCTTAGCCAGTCATTCTTTCTTCTATTTTGTGCTGTTTTTGTGATCATGCCATCTTGGTTCTCTGTTCCAGTCCTAGAGAGCTTTATGGTTTGGCATTTGAAGTACCTCCAATTTCCCAATGCAATTTGCTGCCATCAGGTTTGTTTCAGTGTAGGTGCATGTGTATAAACCTGTTCATTCAGGATGAAATGCCGTAAGCAAGGGTGGTTTTTTTGAGGGAATATAGAATACCAGTTGGTCTTTTTCTTGGTTATGGTAGTTCCAGTGCAAAAACTGTGTCCTACAGCTACAGTTCTTCAGTGGGATGATGAATCTGCTATATATATATTTTGATAGCAGCATGGATAGCAAAAATCAGTGTATTTTCTTAGAGTCCCAGTGCTATTTTTGTTGTCTTAAGCATCTAATTTTTGTTTTGACATGCAATGCAAGTACAATTTAGGTGCTCTTTCTTATTTCCACAAGGACTGTTCCCTGGAGCATTTCAATTAGTGAGACTGAAAGAATGGAGGAGAAAGCAATTTTCAGGATTAAAAGAATCACGAAATAGGTATCAGCAGGGTATCTTTTAAATCTTTTAAATTTTTTTTTTTATTATGCTTACAGTGAAGCAGTCCTGGAAAGAAAGACTGAAGAGGTAAAGAAAGAAAAGAGGAGCTGACTTATGTGTTTACCAGTAGTGAGACCTAAGAGAAAATGTAGATATATATAAAAAGTATCCAAAGTGATTTTTTTTTCCTGTTACTGAAAATTTCAGAGTGTGCTGTCTTAACCTAGCTCCCAGCACTACTTACTTCTGCCATCTCTGTATCATCTAT